TGAGAATGTTAATAAATGTTAATTTCTTTAAACTCCTCTCTCAAACCGCTGGGTTACAGCGATCCTAAAAACAAATAACGGTGTTCACATATCTACAACAGGAATAAAATTATTAATACAAAGATCGAACACTCAGAACAAATTCCTTCGATCAGGCCGTATTCGAACTGACGTCTCCTAGCATACCGTGCCAAACGCTATACCAACTAACCACATGATAAGCGTTCTCGTAATCTTTGTATTAATAATTATAACAAAGTAGTGGAGTAATTTCACATAAAAAAGAATTGAACGTCAATTCAATTAAAAAATAATAATTATAAGAAAATAGATAGACGTATTTTTAGTTTTTCATAAATTGGTACTGTATTGCTTGCAAATATAAACGTACTTTTAGTTCACTATGTGAAGGTAAACTGGATGTTTAATTTTACCCTGTATTCAGTATCACGCGTACGTCAGTGCATTATTATTCGGCGACATGCATCGTGCTGCGTTCTAATGCGGTGATGCACTCGCTGTAAGGGCCCTTGCGGCCCTCGGATTTGCATTGCTTGTGCATATAGAATGGGGTGGCATGCCTTTGTTCGGTTTAGTGCTCGAATATAGGTATAGCCGCGTAGCCTGTGGGACGAGAAATGTTCAATGAGTTCTTTGAAAATATTTCCAACAAATGAAATTGAATGGAATGCTAGTGACAATGGAGCATGCGATGTTTTGATCAGCTATGGGTTGCGTACTCTAAGTGCAATCCGAATTATTGTTGTTAATACTTTATAATATAACTGTACCGTCCTGGACTGCCACGCAGAGGGCCCAGGTTCGATTCTCGGGCCGGGAGAAATATTTGTAAGGCCTACATCTATGTACCTTATGAGTTTGGGTGTAATTTGTGGTTGACTATGTGTGTGTCCATGGCACCTGCGATACAGGGTTTCCCTAGTGCGGGGCCATAAGGAAAACAAAAATATTTAAAGGAAGACGTAATTTATTATTTAAATATATTATAAATAGCTCTTTAGCATCTCAGAAGCTATAATTTTACCAATTAAAATTCTAATTACGAACAAGATGTTCCAAGAAAACATTAAGCCGCGTTTTTTATCGTTGCGAAATATTATATTAAAATCGCTAATGAAGTATTTTATTTACGGCGACTAAATATAAAGTTATGTTCTTAGGTTTTCGCATTTGCCCTACCTTGAAATTGAAACTATTCCTTGGATTTAAAATAGCATTATAATTGGTTTTCTTTTCTAGAACAAAGCAAATATACTTGATTGTGGTCCCGAAAAATAGTTTAGTTTCCAACGTAAATCTTAAATTAAACATGGTCAAGTAACTACTAATGTAGTCACTATGCAGAGTTATTTAAAGCGTGAAACACTCTGACAGCGGGTGCGGGTCGGGCGCGAGTCGGGTCGGGAGAACGGTGGGTGTAATTCCGTGTATGTACTGAAGACTAGGCTGTATGATTTGTGTTAGTACTGGCGGAATAAATTTGTAGGTTTGTATTTAGAATTATATAAAAAAAAATAGTATTGTAAAAAAAGAATATCCTGGATGTTCTAGAAGAAGCTTCGATCTGAATACACGTAGTAAAGTTTTATTTATGATTATTTTCCCCGTTTATCATTGAAATGTGCCTCTCGCTACGCTAACCCACGGCTACGACTCTTACAAATGGTAGAATAGGCAATTATATTAAAAAAATGGAACAAAGTAAAAAATGAAAATCCTGGTTGTTCTAGAACAAGCTTCAATTTGAATACACGTAGTAAAGTTTTATTTATGTAATTATAAATTTTCCTCGTTTATAATTGAAATATGCCTCTCGCTACTCTAAGCTACGGCTCCGACTCTTACAATACTTAAATTGACGACAACACAACACGCGCGGGCGCGGGACGGGTGCAGGTCGTGGTCCCGACCCGACACGCGCCCGACCTGCAGCCCCTGTCATTGCGTTTCACGCTTAAAGAAGTTCGCGTTTGAATGACATGGCATAGATATGTGCCAAATAAGAAATAGAGGCGGTACAATACGACAGTGAATAAATAGTTGGAAAGACCAGCATGCCAAAAAGGCATTAACGAAATATAACTACAGTACCGGCACGCTATGATGGCCGTTTTGACAGATTACAATAGTGCGGTCAAATCTCAATTCATTTTGAAAAAAATATAATCAAACGCGAGCCGCATCTATAAGTTTTTAGATTTATAACTAGTATTGCAGGAGGTACCTGATTAAAAAGTTTTAATAAAACGCAAATAAAAGTATGTACTTAATATATCGTCATTTCGAAACTACTTTGTTTTGCATTGAGCTTTGACGCGAGTTTGCCGGAAAGAAGTTGTGCTGGACAGCGATCCTATAAGTGACGATCGTAATCAACGTAGTTATGAATTAATACGAAACTTGATGAACGGACAAACGTCAAAATGGCCTTCATAGCGTGCCGGTACTTTAAGCACAGGCTGGCTTTGATGCAGAATAGCAACATCTAAAAGTAAAAACTGTTCTGAACAAAGCGCTTGGCGTTGGCCCAACCCCAGCTGTATGCTAATGCGTCATCGACCGGCTGAAGCCGACGGGTGACGGCTGCCCGCCACTCATCGGTCTACATCGATTTAGCATGTTCTGAAACACTGGTTGTTGCCAATATGGACTTAAAACTTATTCTGAGGAAGCTCGGATTCTTGCACAAAAAATATACCTACATAGGGGACTCAATTCGTTTCAATTCGTTTGCCCTGCCCCCGTGGCCGAACGGTTACCATTCTGGACTGCCACGCAGAGGTTCCGTGTTCGTTTCCCGGGTCGGGACAAATATTTGTATGGCCTACATTTATTTCTCTCGTGACTTTGGGTGTAATTTGTGGTTGTCTATATATGAGTGTGTGCATTAAAAAAAACATACAGGACAAGTTTTAATTTCAAAAGTTTCGTCAAAACTTTATGCTGGCGTATTAACAAATCGCATGATAGCATTCCGCAGTTATAAAAATTAAAAAACCAGAAAGAGTCACTATAGTGAAAAGCGAAAAATAATAAAATACAGATTTAATCCAAATGACAATAATACACGTATACTTTTTCTTTATCTTTATTTTATTACATTTTGTGCAAATTTATGGTTTATTTATAGAATTACAACGTGACAATTCTTGTCCAAACCTTATTACCTATAATTTTAATAAAAAAGAAATCCTATTTTGACAAATATAAAAAAGAACCTGCAGTGCGGCGTTGGTTTCTGTAGAATATATTTGAGGCTGAAAATTTACTGCGGTAATTTATAAACTATATTGAAATAAAATGATTCAGTGTGTTTAAAAAGGTTTCCTTCACAGACATTACTTTTATAAGTACAAATTGAACTGGAATTCAATTTTTCAACAAATTGACTGAATCAGGAAATAAAATCAGTATTCCAAGTCTTTCAAATCGAGAATTAGTCAAATGATGAGAATTGGTAGCTGCCGATCATATTCAATACACAGTCTCTGTGTAACGTTCTAAAACCCCGATGGGCTGTTTTGCTTGGCAGAATATTTAACTTGAAATAAAACTTTTCTTATGTAATGGGTACTTTGTGAATTAAGCAATGAATAAAATAAATAAATAATGCACACTCTGTTTCACGGGTGCCATGAATACATACGTAGACAACCACAAATTACAAATAATCTAAGAGAAATAAATATAGGCTATACAAATATTTCTCCCTGCCCTGGAATCGAACCCACGGATGCAGTTTTATAATATTATTGGCTCCTGTTTGTACAGAAATCGGGTAACAAATTTACTCCATTTAGTGTTCCATTTCTCTAAACCGTATCTGGCTCAAATTCGCCAGTTGCAAGGTTGTGTAGAACGGTAAATAATTACAGTGACATTATTGATATTCACCATGACTCTTCTCTTAGCACTCGTAAAAACTTTATAAGTGTTTATGGCAATTACGTCACTTGTAAAAGTATAAGATATAATAAGTAATATTCTACACAGATGTTGGTAAACCTAATAAATAAATAAACAAATGGTCCCTGATAAAACCAGTTGCAGAATAAAATATGCATTTTCGTACGAAAATTTTATAATAGACATAAAAATGAGAGTCCAGTGACTATAAATTGTGTTATAAATTGTAATACTCGTAATATCTTTAGCACTATAAAGTCAAACAAAAGAAAACCACGTCATTTGTCGCCAAAGATGTTTTTCGCAATGGCGGCCCCGCCCGTCAGTGTTCCATTAATACCTTTTTTAATTTCTTATTTCGATAAAACATTTCTTAGTTTTTTTTATTACCAACTAACGAGAGGAACAAATCGAGCGCCTGTTGGTAAGTGACACGCCCCTATCCAAAACAGTTGCGGTGCCACTCAGAGCTTTAAATCGTAAATATCTTAGGGACACTGCCACCGCGCCCTGAAGCATAAGTTGACAAGTCTCATGTGTCTATAATTTTACCAGCACCCTTACCCTTCCAAACCGGAACGCAGTAATAATGTTCACGTTACTGCTTGGCGTCAGAAACAGGTAAGGTGGCAGTACTTCCTTAGACGAACTCTTTCACAAGGACCTCTACTGCTACTAATTTGTTATCTTCAATCGACAGATTGTTCTGACATATCTTTTTGTGTCTCGATAACTTCACATTAGTAGCTTGTTACTTTATTTATTCATTGTTGTAGTAGGTTTGTGTAGTCATTGGTAGTATTTTTGACGCTTTTGTAAGGAATGTTTTTCTGTCAGAATTTGCGAAACCCATAAAGTAAGAATAACGGCAATTTTTCTTTTTTACCTTTTGAAACGCTCATTATGCCCTTTACCTCGAGTTTGCCAAGTACCAACAGATGAAGAGCGCTCACATTCTCATCGATGTCAATCGTGCGTTGAATGCCACTCATAGCCAACAAGCATCTATTCACCCGTACCCCTTTGCCCTAAAACCATTTTTCATGTTGATAAGTACATATATTTTTACTTACGATAGCGGGAGCGGGATACGGTTTGATTACGGCTTTGTTTGACTGCAAATAATTTGGTACCTGTAAGGAAACAAAAACATTTTAGCTACGTACGATGCTGTGTAATTATGTAATTATAACTATTTATGAATATTATATTCCAGCTGAACCATAGATCGTAGGTGCCTGAACTTTTTGGCTTACCTCTTAGGCAAGATAAAAAAATTGCAACGCCCACTATCTCAAAAAATAATTGAAAACACGTGTTTTTTATATTAACTTAATACAAAAAAATCACAAGAAAAAGAAAAATGTATATATGTAGTGTAGTTTATATATATATATCATTCAGGTTTTTTTTTTACATTTGAAAAAACCCCATGGACAGCATCAACGCCTCCAAATTGCTTCCGAAGCCCCTACGCCCTATAAGTTCGGACACTTTTTAGCGCGGACCCGACGTCCATATAATTGTAAGTCAATGTCTGTTAGACACATTTGTACAAATAAATGATACATGATATTTCAAAACGTTTCTTTTCTTCAGAAACTTTTGCGGTCATTGGCATAAAAAGTCACAAAAGTTTTATCGCAATAGGGTGAATAATAATGGGACGCATACAGGACAAAGACATAAACCAACATAAATTTATTTAAATAGTAACATAATAAAACTATTTGCATACATTTGAGAATGTTTACTAGCAGTACCTTTATCTAACAGCTAATAAAAATATCATGGTGAAAATAAAGCTACATGCCGAAGACGGTTCACAAAGTATAGAAAACACGTGAAGTCCCCAACTTGTGAATTATGGCCTTAACTTCTAGAGGACCCGTGGCCAGCAGTGTGACGTGTGATGGTTGATTATGAATGTTTTGCGGAAGTATATCAAATCGTTTAAATACTGTAAAAATAACAGAAAACAGCGTATTGTTGTAATATTTTCTATGGCATACATAGAAAAGAAAAAATTTTAACGTCAAGTTATTTTCGTCTGCAAACGATACTTTGGAACACATACATAGAATTTAATCTTGTCATTGATACAACAACCATTGGGATAGACGATCTAATGTCCTTTTAAATGAAGTTGTTATTCCCTTACCGTTGGTGGAACTAAAAATTCACAGCCATCATCATCTTTGAGACTTATATAGATTTGTTTTATAATTGTAAATTTGTATATAGTATGCATAGGGTGTCCCTCTGCTATGGGACACAGGGGGAAACTTTAAATTATTGTAGATAGGATATTTTGCTTCAAGGACACATTACTTTATTTTTATAAATAATACAGCATTTAAAGACTTAAAAAGTTCGATCGAACAGACCAAATGACTGCCAAAAATCTTGTATTTTATGACGCCGATCGAAAGGGTCTATTATGAGGATTAATTCCTTATAAGTAACATATTATCTTAATGTAACGGAACATATGAAATTTTACATTGAAGTTTTGAAAAACTAATTAAAATATGTTTTATTGTTTAGTACGTGAAAGAAGAGGAGGAGGAAATGTCTCAACGAATCAAAATATTCTTTCTACAATATTTAAAATACTTTCCGTTCGTGTCCCATAGACGTGGTACGTCATGTATAGTGCGTTAGTAACCAAAAACTTTCCCTGGTTCCTGAAAATTTTAGTCACGTTAACTCGTCTTGAATAATTTTTTCTTTATTGAAATGTGACTAAAAAAATTCGAGTTCGAAATGCGAGTTGAAAGCTCAATGTTTGTAAAAAGGTAAGGGATGCAATGAGTCCATTTTTCTTTATCGTAATTGAGATCATATACAAGTGAAACAGAGCCATAAAATCTCGTAATCTGTATAATTGCCTGGTCACGGTCCCAGGTCGTATTTTTACGTAGCTTCTCATATAATTTTATGCGTCCGGATAATGCTGCTCGTCGCACCGCATGTTACGATGTTTTATGATTAAATCTCACAAATTATGGTTTGATGAGGTTGTAACCATTTTATTTTTTGCAGTTTTTATTTTTGTTCCACCTCTTGTTTATCGTTGGATCCTCTGTGCAATTGGGTCAGACTAGTGGATTATGCTTTTCCAAAAAGAAATCCATGCAGCAGTGGAGCGTATTATGTAAACGCAATAACTCTTAATCCGAATTACCAGAACAGAAGCGAGAAAAACTGTTTTGCTTAAATCAAATGATTTAGGTATTTACTATTAAATAACAATCTTACAAAAAATATACGATGCACCGAAGGATATTGTCTAAATAATGTGCTAATATGTTACACAATAGGATGTACTTCACCCGATCATATAAATTTCTGAAAACAGACTGAAATACAAGTCTAAAACGAGTTATTTAAGAATAAAATACCTAACTTTGCACACAATTTTATATGGAGATATTTCCCTTTAAGTACTACAGAGAACGTGCTAAATTTTAGTTTTCAATCAAAGCCCTGTAGTTACTAAATTCACTTTTATTCCAAAATTGCCCGGTGGAGTAACGACGCATCACGCGCCGCCCTGCCTCGTCAGTCGCCATCGGGCGTTTGTCGACATCGGATCTGTGCCAAATTTTCTCCGCCTGTTCTTATTTTATTAATATTAATTGGAAGTGCGCGGGTTGAGGGCTGGTCCCCCATACCTATCGAGTATATAACCGGAAATAGAGACGAAATAAGGGTCATACATTCCTGGCATTTCATCAGGCAATTGGGCTTTATAACACTTTTAAATATTAACTCTCTATTTGGGCTGATATCACAAATTAGAAAGCTGAAATAGTACAGCGCCAATAACTGACGTTGTGTAACGTATATTCCAAAAATATTCTTTATTTATTATAATACAGATAATATCTCTAACTATGGGGGGTTGTTCCATTCGGTGGTGTGGAAAAAAACAGCAAAATATCTAATTACAAAACAAACGGAATTACATTTCATCGGTAATTTAATATTAAATATATAATTTTTCAATTTTCGCCCACTATAGCAAACCACAAGTTAAACTGGGCGATTTGAAGTGAAACAGTTGACGACACCCGGCATTGTTTCAAATTCGGGCTGGCCAATAGCAGCGCAGTTGTCACCGTAATGTTTTCAAACAAGTTAAATGACATTTCGTCTCTATTTCTGATTATATACTCGATGCCCACAACTGACCTCTTAAAATGTAGACTCGCATTGAAACACCTCGCCTTAATATAGTAAGATTTGCTGGGTAAATATTTTGCTTGGGAGTGCTTTTCGGAAGACATAATTCGCCAGATATATTTTGCCAAGTTGATATTTTTACTTGGACCGAGGGAAATCTTATATTTTCTCCCCATGCTCGTATCTAGTCGCAAGGAGCGGTAAAAAGCTGACTCACCGATTCAATGAAAACGATAATAAGCAATACATCATCATGTTCGACAATGAAAGTATCATCCTATTGTTCTTTTTCTTGCCTCTAAGCAAGAGGTCATGGTTCATCGTATCATTAAATTCCTACACGCATCGTGTATTAAATTTTATGTAATTTACCTTCGAAAGCGTAAAGTGAATGAGTCGTATCAAATTTTAATAATAATTTTACGAAGAAAAATCGTAACGTAAGCAATAAAATATTGTATATTGGTAGTCTGTGTTTTTTTACGCGTCCCAAATTTCATTGGTCAGTATTTATTGTTCATACATATAATTTAAAATATTCTAGATGTGCAAACCGACTAAAAACATTTGATAATAATGCATGGAGATTAGGTTGGTTTTTATGAACGCGGTACCCCACAAATCCACAAGTCCTTGCGGCTTACACGGGGTCACTGTTTTTCCTTACACATATACAAACGTGCACATGGCTTGCGCAACTTGCGGTGAAGATCGTATATAGGGTGTTTTTATATAATAATTTTATTAGACAATTACTAAAACAGAACTCGCAAAATAACATTTGATAATCGCATCCCATTACCCTCGAGTGCAAAATTTTGATCATATGTATTCCATGTTGCGTAGTGCTATGGGTGGAATGTTTTCGAATTGAGATTTGATGTGTTGCTTTTGATTGAGTGTCAGTAGTTCTTATACATTCGTCACACGCCACTACTAGCCGTACTATTGTCGTTACATACGAAATCATCCAATCATCCATATTTCTCGCTTAAGATTTGATAGTAATTGGTCGTTTGGTTGGACCAATTTTCATATTACACAATGGATCTCGGTGATGAATTGAAACGAAGGCTCTTTGTGTTACGAGTACGTGACACGTTTAAAAGGAGTTTTAATTGTACGGAATAAATGTATACCGGAAAAATACATGGTGGTAATTGTCACAGCGAATTTTGTATGTGAAGGCAATTGTTGTTTCACGAATTTGAAATTATTGTGTTGATGGCTTCTTTAAATATTCTTTGTCGGATATCGGGAAATAGGGATTCGCAATTAATTACGTGAGTCTTTTTCATTGTTTGTATCCTTCTAAAACACCGTGTACATCAAAATTAACATAATATTTGAAGTAGTTATTCCTATGATCATTTAAATGCCCAATGTGTATTATAAAGAAAACATCGCATTCAAATTTAACACTATATATTCTATATATGACCAAAACTGAGGGATACTTACTTGGATCAAAAACATGTAATGTATGTATATTAAAGAAATATATAATTGTATTTAGCACATTGGGCAGTTAGACCTTTTCCCATTATACTGTTTGACTCTCATTAAGCAATATATAGCGAGATAAATAACGAACTAAAACTGCCTTTTTAAATTGTTGGTCTGGTCTTTAAAGATACACCCTGTATTTCAATTTAAAAATTTCTTGCATTTGGTCTTCAGAGCAAAATGTAACCGTCATCAACGTATTATACGACCGACTGTTGAGGTACGGGTTTCCTCTAACAGGGTTTAGGTCATAGCCCGCCGCACTAGCTATATGCGGAGATTGTTGGGGATTACACACGCTTTCCAAAGGAAAACCTTTTACGACACACAGATCACATCATGATATTTCCTTTCATAGTTAGCTAGAAATACTACTAGTAAACACTTCCAAATGTAATACGTAATGTAAAAATTAAAAACATATGTATATACGAATCTT